ATTTTATTAAAAAATTTTAAAATTTAAAAAAGTTTGCAGGCAAATTTGGCTGCAAAACAATTTAAGGGATAGCTTTTACTTTGACTATCTCTGATATTACTTCTTCCCTTGATTTTGATGACTATCACTATTTTCGTATTGAACTCAATGGTTGTATAGTCTATGTTTCTTATCTTTTTGCCAAGTATCTTCATGATGTTACTTTTGTTGAAGAACGAAATGGTATGAACACTTATCAATGCATAAAATCTTTTATAGAGAGTATTATTTCTCAACATTTTGACTTTGGCGAAGGCGAGAATGTTTCTATGTTTGATTGGCGTATCTACTGGAATTCCTCTTTTAGGGATCATTCTTTTCAGGATGTTATAGATTACTACTGCCGTGCTAGTGAATCTATCTCTTTAAGATCTCTTATCAACGATTATCTTCTCGAATTCGAGGCTAGTGGTTGTGATGAGGATGAAAATCCTACATTTCTTATAACTAAGCCTCCTTTTGGCGAGGTTACCAAATCTGATAATGGTCAAGATGTTTTCATTATTTCTAATTCTTCTTTAGATCCTTCACTTCTTGAGGTACGGATTCTTGATCTCATTTTTACCAAGGATAATAATAAGAGTTTTATTATTGGTTTATCATCCAACCGAAGTTAGATAATATTTCTAACTTGCTGTGGTTGTATGTTAAATGAATTTTAATTCATTATTTCTTTTTGAATGTGAAGAAGTTTTATTCGTGTTGAAATAGTTTTTAAACTTTTCAATTTCTATTTTAAGGACTATATAAATAATAATGCAGAGTTGCTTTTTGACAACATAGATTCTTCCGTTGTTGGTGATTCTCGTAATAACAATTCCGATAACGAGAGTATCAGTATGCATCTTGATGGTACCTATTTTTCTCCTTTAACTGGGAAGCCTTTATCTTATTACAACTGTTCTTTTTGTAATCGTTACATTTGTAATTGTATAGGTTATTCTTATGATCAAGATGATTCTGATTTTTATCATTATTCCGATTAGTTTTCTTCTTCAATTGTAATGTTTATTAAGTCTTTCAAAGATTTATTCTCTTTATTATTTACTATTCTTGATAATAAACCTGCTGCTTTATTTTTGGCTCCTGGTATTCTATGTATGATATAATTGAATTCTTGTAAATTCATTATCCAATTTTCAATTGTTCTGCTTGTGACAGTTGTTTTCTTTGTTGTAGATATTCTAGTTGCATCAGTATAAATGTGTATTTCTTGATTACCAATGTAATGTCGCCATTGTTTTAAGAATATATATATTGCATACATTTCTCTTTGTGTCGCAGGCCAATTCTGTTGTGTTTGACTTAAGCCTCTTGATCCTAATTCTATAATTCGCAAGTTTGAAGCTGGTGGATTATCATAATCTTTTTTGAGTTCTTCTTTTAGAAGTCCTTCTCTAAGTCATTTTTCAGTTTGCTTGTAATGTTCTCATTCTTCATCTTCTTGATATTTTATTGCTCCTATGCCTATTTGTGACGCATCACATTCCATAAAGAAAGGTTTGCTTGGATCTGGATATGAAAGATATATATTTCGTTTAACTTCTTTTTTAAGGTTATCGAATGCTGTTTGACATTCATTTGTCCATTTAAATGTGGTATTTCCGGTTAATTAATATAATGGTGCTGCTATATCGGCAAAGTTTAATATATATGGTCGGAAGTAATTCATAAATTCCATGAAGGCTTGTACTTCAGTTTTATTGGATGGTACAGCTTTGCTATCGATTAATGCTTCTTTATTAGCATTTTTCCGTATTTCTTTGTATCGAATTTTGCAATTGAGTATAGTAGTTTCTTCAACTAAAAATTCACATTTAGATGGCTTAAGTTTCAGCCCTGCTTTTTTGAGGATTGCTAAAGTCTACTTTAGTCTCTTTTTCATTTTCTCTGGTGAATTTGCTACTATAGTCATATCATCCATATATATTTTTAAGCAATCAAATTGTTTGAATAATTTATTTAATTCTGCTATTAAATAGGCTGGTGCATTTGTTATTCCAAATGGTAATCTTTTTCAAAGATATATTCCAAATCTTCCAAATCTACTTGCTGTATATTTCTGTGATTTTGGGTGCATGTTTAATTGCCAATATGCTGATTTTAAATCCATTGTTATATCTGCTAATATCTTGTAAGAATTGCATTATATTCGGTAATTGTTGTTTGAATTTTACTAGATGTTTATTTAATCTTCTATAGTCTATTACTATAGCTTTTCTTCCATCTTTTTTAGTTATTATTTGCACATTACTTGCCCATTCGCTATATCCAAGATATATAACCTTATTTTTCTCTAAATCCTCACATAATTCTTTAATAATTTTTTCTTCTTCTACAGTATATTTTCTTATTCCTTGATTTTTATCATT